CATATTATACTGATTTCTGAAGATCATGTGACACTGAAGACTGGAGTAATGATGCTGAAAATACAGCTGCGCATCACAGAAATAAATTACATTTTAATGTATATTCAAATAGAAAAATGTTATTTTACATCATAATAATATTTCACAATATTACATTTTTTCCTGTATTTTTGATCAAATAAATGCAGCCTTGATGAGCAGAAGAGACTCCTGTAAAAAACATTAAAAATTGTTCGGTTCCCAAACTTTTGACCAGTAGTATATATATATAATTTTTTTTTTTTTTTGTGGGAAAGGAAAGCTCCCCTCATCACCTTGTCTTCTTTGGGTCCTTTGGTCAGGTCAAAGCTGGCGTAGACTTCAGGTGTGCACTGAGCGCTTAGAGGCGGGAGCTCGAATGAACTCGGTTCAGCCAAACCATAACTGGCCTTCAGTTCCAGCGCTGGAGCTTCAGCAGGAACCTTATGAAAGTAACTGACACAGAAATGCAGCCATCAAAACACAAGTTCTCCAGGAATGGTTTGCTCAATAAACGTCTTCATCCGGACCCATGTTTGACTCACATGAAGCTGTTCTCTCTCTGGCATTTCTCCAGGGTGTTTTTGATGAACGTGCCCAGTTTCTTAAAGAAGAGCTGTTCCGAGGGTTTGGCCGTGCTGCCGGGACCCTTCATCTGACGGTACTCTTTACACAAGGCTTCAGCGCGGGAATAAACTGAGACACAGAGATTCAATACGACCATTAACAGGAAAGAGTTCACCCAGAAAACATGTAAGAGCTCTAAATAATCCCAGACTAAAAACCATTACAGCATCATTCTACTGGAAAATACTCTACTTCAAAATGTCATGTTGCTGTTTCTTTGTAATTCATTGTGAGATTTACTATCAATTTCTGAGTGAAAAGTGTATAGATAAATTGCATATTTGAACCATTACACTTTTCTTTCTTTAATATCAGTGCTAGATAACAAAATATGTCTTTGAATTATTTTATTTATTTGTTTGTTTATTTAACAGGGACAACACACTAGGCATTGTTACACAAAGACAACCAATGCCGTGTACATAGGGCATATAGCATAAAGCTAGTTTGCAGCCCTTCCTCAGAATATAAAATATGTCCACCAAAGCACATCATATATGTGACCCTGGACCACAAAACCATCATCTGAAAGCTGAATAAATAAGCTTTCCATTGATGTATGGTTTGTTAGGATAGGACAATATTTGGCTGAAATACAACTATTTGAAAATCTGGAATCTGAGGGAGCAAAAAAATCTAAATATTGAGAAAATCATCTTTAAAGTTGTCCAAATGAAGTTCTTAGCAATGCATATTACTAATCAAAAATTAAGTTTTGATATATTTACAGTAGGAAATTTACAAAATATCTTCATGGAACATGATCTTTACTTAATATCCTAATGATTTTTGGCATAAAAGAAAAATTTATTATTTTGACCCATACAATGTATTTTTGGCTATTGCTACAAATATACCCCAGCGACTTAAGACTGGTTTTTATGGTCACATATGGCTGAAATATGATCATTTGTTGAGGGATTCATCATTTGCGTACACTTCTCAGCCTCCTGCAGGGATCTTATGGCCTCTCCGCATTTATCACCTGCGAGAAGAGTCTGTCCATGATAGCAGTGTGCCTGGAAATAACAGAAATATATCATACAGTTAGATATTTATTGCATTAGTGTGACCAAATATCAAAATTAGTGATCGTCTCCAAACACTCCACTCGTCTGCCATTGTTCAAAGGAACAGAAAGTCCTGCACCAAACTGCATGTTAAACTATTTCATTCAAAATGATCTAGTAACATCAGTCATTTAATCCACAGACATCCAGATGAGTTCAGACAGACTCACATAAGCCATGTAGAAGTGCTGCTTCAGCTGCAGGTATTTCTTCCATTTACTGCTGCATTCTGGATCCAAAGTGTTCAGAGTGTGATCTGAGCAAATATAAGAAACATAATCTTCTAAATAATACATAATATTATTATATAGCACTCAAATACTTGATGGATGCTTGCATATTTCTGTATAATGACTAAACTACATATTAACAATTATTTCAATGTCTGACGTGTCTCTTCGCACTCTGGGTCTCAACATGATACAATTCTTTTAACTCAAATCAATATTCATGTCCACGCTACATTTATTTATTTCATGATTTATATTGAGGTCCATTCAGGCCTTTTACATATACATGTTATATAAATGTTACATATTATATAAATATGTTGTATATATAATCTTATTAGATTAAGACATGTCAAGGTCCTATTTGTTAACATTAATTAAGGCATTCGCTAACATGAACTTATAATAAATCATTCTAATATGCTAATTTGCAGCTCAAGAAACATTTCTGATTAGCATCAATGTTGAAAACATATGTTTTGGTTCATATTTTTGTGAAAACTGTGATACATTGTATTTTTCAGGATTCACAGATGAACAGTAAGTTCAAAAGAACAGCGTTTATTTGAAACAGAAATCGTTTGTTACATTATAAATGGCTTTACTTTAACTTTAGATCAATTTAATGCATCCTTGCTGAATAAAAGTATTAATTTCTTTAAAAATAATAATAATCTTATGGGCCCCTGACTTTTGAATGGTAGTGTGTAACATATATACAGTACACACACAAACATATACATACAGTGGGTACGGAAAGTATTCAGACCCCCTTAAATTTTTCACTCTTTGTTATATTGCAGCCATTTGCTAAAATCATTTAAGTTAATTTTTTTTCCTCATTAATGTACACACAGCACCCCATATTGACAGACAGGGGGGTCTGAATACTTTCCGTACCCACTGTATGTGTGTAAAATATTAAATACATTATTTCAATTACTAGCGATAGTTCACCCCAAAAAGTTTAATACACAATATCAGAGCATGTGTCTCTAAACTTGCCAGCCTTCTGGTAGAAGTTTGCGGTCTCAAACGACAGCGCTGCGATGATGGAGGCGTTGTGCTTCAGCTCGATGGCTCTGGCAATGGTGACTAAAAACAGAGACACATGAACCATCACACACACACACATGCAGCAGTTCTCCAGCGATCATGACTGTCAGTGTGTTTTACCCTCCTGAGCCTCTGCCTGACTCTGCACAAGGTAGGTGTCAATGACTCGCGGCTCCAGGTCTCGACCCTTCTCTGCTGGAGTGATGAGCCGAGGAATATGAGTCTCCTGACAGGAAACACACCACATGAGCACATTCAGAAAGAAAAACAAAGAACAGAGTCAAATATCACCATGGATCAAGCAGTAAGACAATCATGACCATGCATTACAGTGATTTACAGCGTTTAAGGGGTTTTAGGCACTCTATGTGGTAAAATCAGTGTAATGCATGCACTTTAATGGCTTTTTGCTTTCATTTTCCACAAAATTAAGCACATTTTACCTTAAGGGTTTTAAAGATTCCAGCAGCGATTTTCAAACTCTTGTGAACATCTTTGGCCTCATCCTCTGTGACGCTACAATTTAAAACAAAAGCAATCTGTCTTTAATCAAATACTAAAAATATCTACCCTAAAATTCAACTTCCTGATATAATTTATTACACTTATACATGTAATACATTACAGTGGCATAATGTAGAGTCAGTGAGTTTAATTTGAGACTATGACCAGCTGACAGTAAATAATATACATTAACTCATTTATTACATGCCTACTTACCAAATAAATAAATATAAATTATATTGATTTTGAAATGTTAATGATTGTATTATGTGAGAAGAAGGGGCAGAGTGATATGAAAGACTTTTCAAATACTATACTTATGAAATACTACTATTTTAGTATTATTTAAATACTGTTATAGAATTTATTCATTAAAATTTGTTACGTTTCATCAGGTGTAATTAATTTGATTTAAGCTTTTTTTTTATTTAGTTGAAACGTGACATAGTTGAGACATGAAACTAGCACAACTATGTAGGAAATTGGTTGCTGGGTTTTAAAAGTGGAACTATTTTGAACTTCTCACAACATCAGATACATCTGTCTGCATGTGTACAGCTCTAGCAGCTGAAGATGAAGAATTTCTCTGAGAGGAACGCTAAAGCACATCATATAATAGTTTCTATTTTCCATTTTATATCATAGAATATTTTAAATCACAGAATCCCGTCACTGACCAACCAATCATTCATTCCAGAGAGAATTGACACATGTAACTTACTTCTCCTTTCCGGCCAGTCGTGAGGCAAACTTGGTGTACCAGATGGCAACATTAAAGGCCACAGACACCAGCTCAAAAACCGCATCCTGCTGGGCACTGCAAAACACAAATCACATTTTATTCCCATCAAACCTCGTCATTCTAGTTCAAAATCAACTGTCACTTTCATAAAAGCCAATCAGATTAGATCAATGTCAATATGGACATGTAGCATAAGATGCATTCACCTTGAAAAAGAAATGAACTAAATTACACAAGATTTACAGAAAATACACATGCATTTGAAGTGAGGACGAATGTAGTTCGTTCAGAACACAATGCGTTTTGTGCAATTGATAAATATAATAAATAATGCATTTCAGTGTTTTCTTCTAAGAAAATTAGAAAACACTTACAGGAAGCCTTCATGTATAATGCATTACAAAGGAATTCAGAATGTACATTGTGATGCAATTGTAACCAAAGTTAAAATACATTAAATTATTTGCAGATTATATTTGACACTGGTTGTCATGTGTTTATGAGGTGCATTACAAGGCATTAATAATGCATTAAAATACTTTTATAATCCATTTATAAAATCCCATTTTTGTTTACTTTTGCACAACTTTTTTCACCAGTCGATGAAATTATGGGTCCTAAAAAAGGAAACCAGTTGAAAACCACTGTGCTAAACCACATTACGTGATGTTTCTGCTCTTTCTGAGTTACCTTGCGATATTTCCCTGTAAAGTGTCAGTCCATCTGAAGTTCTGGATGAACCGGAGCTTGTTCTCTTGTGTGGTTCCATCCAGCGGCAAAATGAATCCTATAACAACAACAAACAACATGCCTCTGAGCAGAATAAATGCAAATGAATAAAAAACAGCCTGAGCAACACGGAAATGTCTGATCAGAGAGGAAAAATAATAGTGCACAAACCCTGTAAAAGAGCAAAATATTCATCACTGGATTTCTTCATGATCTCTGGGGTACACGTGGTGTCTGTGAACATGTCCAGCAGTCGGGCGCGCGTCGTTCTCAAGTCACTGAGACACAGATTTAACATTTATATCAGAAAAATGATCATGCACATACAGTAGGGTGGCCTTTTTCTCCCAGATGGGATTTCCAAATTGCCTAAAATATCCGTGTTTTGGCTTTGTTTTCCTACAGTCCTCATATACATTATATGCAGAGCTGGGTAGCAACTGATTACATGTAATCTGGATTATGTAATCGGATTCCGAAAATTATCAGTAATATCAGTATGGTACAATATTATCCTATTTAAATCAATGTGATAAACGTTACATTAAAAAGTCATCAAAAAGTACTCTGATTATATTACCTAAAATGTGTAATGTAATGGATTAGCGTACGTTACGAACTACAATTTTTGTCATGTAATTTGGAATCAGTAACAGACTACAATTTGTAAGTTATCTACCCAGCTCTGATTATATGTACACGTATCTGCATTGTTCTGTAGATCCCGCCTTCTCGCATGCCATAATTGGTCGATTATGCACAATGCCTGCACGTTATTGGTCAAACTACTTTTCAGTCATTACCATCAGCAAGTATGAAACAAACAAAGCCAAAACTTGGACATTTTAGACAATTTAGAAATCCCAGCCAGGAAAGAGGACTCAGGGGCATCCTAAAATACAAAGATTATATAATAACAGAATGAAATCCTCACTTGCAGATCTTATTGGCAGCGGGACTGGATGCCACACCGTACAGGTTAAAGGACACAGGTGCCGTGGCTTTCAGAGGGTTTCGATGGAACCAGTGAGTCATGGTGAGAGAGGATACCTGAACGAGAAGAAAGACGCTATTATCAAGTTTATTTCAATATTTGATCTTAAGGACATTTCATTTGCTGTTGTATGATCACCACCAAATATCCAGTGTAAAATCCGGATCCTGACCATCTGAGAACCACTTGAGAAACAACTTAACTAGACATTATATGATTTTCTATATATCTGAGAGTCTTCACAGATGTTATTAACACTGATATTTTCAATGCTTGTGAGATATACAAGTTATAAGCGACTAAATGACTGAGCACATTACACATCTATTAATACGCAGTGAATTTTCCTATTAAGAAATATTATTTACAAAAGAACACTTTAAAGATTAGATCAATAGTTCTGTGTGAATGATCAGTGAGTCATTTGAGAAGGCAGGTCCATTTCTAACATCTCGGCCTTGTTTATCAACAGATCTACATGAGTAAAAACAGATATAGATCCAATAAACTGGCTAAAACTACCTACGGTTGATGCCTTATCGTCTACAAATGAAAACACACTGATCTTAATGTTGTTCAATATATGAGAGAAATCAACTGAGTCAGAGACTCGCTATTCAACAGCAGGAACACGCTCAAATCTCACATCAATAGTTCTGTGTGAATGATCAGTGAGTCATTTGAGAAGGCAGGTCCATTTCTAACATCTCGGCCTTGTTTATCAACAGATCTACATGAGTAAAAACAGATATAGATCCAATAACCGGCTAAAACTACCTGCGGTTGATGCCTTATCGTCTACAAATGAAAACACACTGATCTTAATGTTGTTCAATATATGAGAGAAATCAACTGAGTCAGAGACTCGCTATTCAACAGCAGGAACACGCTCAAATCTCACAACAGACTCTTAACGCTTGTTTTAAATAAAATAGATATGTCTTTATACCAGAAATGTGTCGACTGTCGGATGTTTGTTGTTTTAATCGGAGAGACTCTAAAGATGAAGATCAGGAAACGCCAAAACAATGAACGCTCTTCCGGTATGACGTATTTCGGGCGGTGACGTCATGGACACGCCCATTGGTTTAAAACCCCCGCTTACGTAATTATGCGTGTTTTGCGTTTTATAACTGGTTGTGGTTGTATATTACCATTTTTGTTTCTTTATGTAAATTAATTTTTTTATATAATTTGAATATGCAGTAAAATACGGACCAGGTACAGACAGCCTAAAGAAAACGGATACAAATTTTACTTTCACAGAAACGACTTACATAAGTCAGAATGACTTGGTGAGAGAAAGAAAAACCAAAGTCCCTTTCAATAATTTCTATAGTCTTTGGAAAAACAGCCACATTTAAAAAAAAACAAAAAACAACCAATTTACCAACTCACTTATTTTTTATTTAGTCATTTATTAGACGCTTTTATCCAAAGCGACTTACAAATGAGGACAACAGAAGCAATCAATTGTAGTATTATCTTACATTAGATGTATTTACATTAGATAATTTATTCTGCTCTTACATGTAGTTACTTATCTTACATTAGAGCTCCATTAGAGCTCCTTTAACATGCAAAATTAAAGAAACATTATAGAGAAATGTAATCTTTTTTTTTATTAAATAGCTTTTCATTTTAATTTTATTTAGTTAAAATTTTGTAAAAAATGCTAAATGCATACATTTGTGTTTTTGTCGTTTTTATTCGTTTTTCTTTTTAAATATGTCCATATAGGCTAGTTGTATGTTTTAGTTTAATTCGTTTCAGTCATTTTATTACTTCTACTTCAAACTAAACAATAAGAAACGTTGCCTTGGCAACTAGCTGAAATAAAATATTTTACTTCATTTAATATATATTTAAGATACTAAAAAGCTTCACATTACATTACAAGATTTATTTTGTGTAATAAATGTCAGCATTTATGTTTTATTAAAGCATTGGACGTGCTATGTAATGATCAATGTGATACAAGTATCAATGTGTCATTGGATGTGAAATTAATCACACATTATTAAGACAAGAAAATTGTATTTATCAAAGGCGTAGAATTTAGTAGGGACGCTAAGGACATCCTACCAATATCCAGCGCCTACTAATTGTCCCTAGCAATGGTTTTTAATCAAACAATTAAATATATGTAGGCTATATGTAACCACTGTTGTTGTAATTTTGGCAGCATCTGAAATTGGTCATACGGCTGATATTACCTGAGAAGTTAAAGTAAATACGCTAGAAAAGTATGTCTTTGAAACTGAGCTTATCGAAACTCCAAATCAGTTAAACCACTGTGTCGCAAAATGATTCACTGTTTCGAAGCGCTCCAATTAGATCGCATATGCAAATGATTTGATTCAGATCGGGACTTCGGAGCATGTATCGCGAATCGTTTGATTCAGATCGGAACTTCAGAGCGGGTTAGCGACTCTTTCGATTCAGCTCGGAACTTCAGAGCGGGTTAGCGACTCTTTCGATTCAGATCGGAACTTCAGAGCGGGTTAGCGACTCTTTCGATTCAGATCGGAACTTCTTAGATCGCATATGCAAATGATTTGATTCAGATCGGGACTTCGGAGCATGTATCGCGAATCGTTTGATTCAGATCGGAACTTCAGAGCGGGTTAGCGACTCTTTCGATTCAGCTCGGAACTTCGTAGTGGGTTTGTGAATCATTTTGTGAATTGAAAGATTCATTACACGCTACAATGTCCCGATCTGAAATGATGGTTCATGAATCATTGGGACTTCAGAGCACGGATCGCGAATCATTAGATCGGGATTTTGGAGCGGGTTTGCAAATAATTTGATTCAGATCTTTTGATTCAAAACATAACGTCGGAGGGCGTGTCGCAAATCATTTGATTTAGATCGGAACTTCGGAGCACGTATCGCGAATCTTTACAGTTTTACTGCATGCCATGTTTAATAGTTAGTGTAGCAAAACCATAATTAATTTGTGGTTACCATGTTTTTTTGTTTTTTTTAGTAAAACCATGGTTAATTTTTTGAAAGGAATGTGTTGCCAGGTTAATAAAAAAAGTAACAAATGTACAACTTAAGAGGACAAATAGGATGAATATAGAAATACAGTTTTGTTTGCTTTAAGATTAACAGAGCTTTGAATAGTTTCCATATACTGGTCTAGATCAACTCTGAATAAAGAAAAGAGGTGTAGAGCCAGATTTTTGTTTATGTATGTGAAATTCAGCTAGCAGGGAACACAAATTAAGTATGTTTTCTCGTTTAAGTTGTCAAACAATCAGAACATCTTTAAAACTGCTGCTGTCATGTTATTGTCTGCTGTTATGTCCCCACCAATGACAAAATTAATACGCCCTAGTTGTTTATATAGAGCTCTACGCAATTACTCACTTATTACACTACTATCACAAAGGTCTCGTGAATTTTTTATAAATTATAAGGTTCGTATCCCTCTCTCACGTCTTCTTTTTTTCTTGAACTCGTATTCGGACTTTTATTTTGAAAGCCTTCCGGCGCAGTCGCAGGTAGTTCGGTTGCACTCGCGTCAGGCCTGTGTCGAGGAGTTAGGAAAACTCCCTACCTCTTGGAAACACGGAGTGATAATTCCAATTGGAAAGCCTGGAAAGGATCACTCAAAAGCATCAAATTATAGACCAATTTCTTTAACATCTAATTTATGCAAAGTGATGGAGAGAATGATAATTAGCCGATTAAATTATGTAATAGAAAATAAAAATCTAATATCTTCATATGAGAGTGGCTTTAGAAAAGGGCGTAATACAATGGATGCAATAATATGTCTAGAATCTGACATTAGAAAGGCAATAGTGAATAAGGAGGTGTTGGTAGGTGTATTTTTTGATGTGGAAAAGGCCTATGATATGCTGTGGAAAGGGACTTTTAGTTAAATTAGACAAGATGGGAATAAAAGGAAAAATGTACAATTGGATTATGGATTTTTTGATTAATAGGACCATACAAGTAAGGGTCGGAGCAAGTTATTCTAGGACTTTCTCAACAGATAATGGGACCCCACAAGGAAGTGTGTGTAGCCCAGTTTTATTTAACATAATGATAAATGACATATTTTCAATGATTGGACAAGGATTTGGTAAATCTTTATATGCTGATGATGGTGCCTTGTGGAAAAGGGGAAGAAATGTAGTATTTGTGGAAAGTAGTATGCAGAAAGCAGTTAATGAAGTGGAAAAATGGGTAAATAAGTGGAGTTTTAGACTGTCAGTAGAAAAAACTAAAGTGATATGTTTCTCAAAAAAGAAGAAATCACCAAATATTAAACTAAAGATTTATGGAAAAATGTTAGAGCAGGTAACAGAAATTAGGTTCCTTGGATTATGGATGGACTCAAAACTAACTTTTGCATCACATATTAATAAAGTAATAGATAAATGTAAAAAGGGAATAAATATTTTAAGATGTTTGGCAGGGGTAGATTGGGGTGCAACCCGACATGTGGCAAGACGTATGGAATAAAGAGTCAACAGGGAGACACTTATTTAGCATTCAACAGAAAGTGTGGATTGAAAGAAAGGTATATGGAAACAGAAGAGAAGATACTGTTATAACCAGGATCCGTATAGGACACTCTAACCTTAATTATTCATTGTATATAATAGGAAAAAGTGAGTCAGATAGCTGCAGTTACTGTGGAATAACAGAAACAGTTGAACATGTGCTTTTACATTGTGAGGCATATAATAGACAAAGAAAGCAACTTGTTGAAAAACTAAGAGATATGGAAATCAATGACATTTCAGTTATGAATATATTTCAGAATGCACAGAAACATCTAAGGGTTTATGATTTTCTTCTAAAATATCTGAGAGATACAGATTTGATTAGAAGAATTTAGTTTTTTTTTTTTAATTAGTAGTATATAATATATTCGTTCATCGAGGCCTCACACTCCATCCCAGTAGGTGGCGGAAATGCACCTTAAGCTGGTTTGCCAACCGCCATTAAACACAAAAGAAGAAGAAGAAGGCCTGTGTCGATGTGTGGCGATGCCACCGGAGCATCCGGAGCCCAGTGCGTTTCCCCGGCGGTGCGCAACAATGCGGCGCTGGAGATAAAACTTCACCAGCGATGTCAGAGCCCTGAGCTTTCGTTTCGCGCAACTTTATCCCGAGAAGATGTCAGATCATGTCACCAAAACCGTCCAGAAATGGCACGCGAGTTTTAAAAAAGGCACGGACTTTGATTCGTGGGGGCAGCTGGTGGAAGCCATCGATGAATATCAAATGTAAGTTACGCATTTTTGATCAAAATAAAAAAAAATATATATATATTTGGCGATCTCTGGATCAGAGTTGGTTACAAGTGAGAGGGTGTTTTTTTCTACAAACAATACAAATAGAAGTTACATGACAAGTGATGCATTGCAATTACACAAAGTAGCAATTTATTTCCCGCCACAGAGTCATTAGTACTTTATTTCGCGTGTTCTCGCATTGTTCGATTTGATGCATGAGATGCTGTGAGTAAATAAATAAGTGTTGAGTGTTTGGCAGTCTGTTTGTGTTATGTTGCGCGCCACACCCTCCAGCAGTGGGTGGAGTTTCACTCTCAGTCTGAACCAATGACAACAGATGCACTCTTCCCGAGCTTCACACTCTACTTGTGCATTTTATTCATGGATTTAATGTGCATTTCTTTCTGGAGCACGGTGTCAATAACTGCATTACTGTCCGTAAAGAAAAGCACTTTTATTATTTATTATCTTAGTGCATTTCATCTCTTAGCTGGACTGCAGATGTGTCTATAAACACAGTTATCATTAGACATCAGTCATTTGTAACCAGTTCTTGTGATGTTTTCTTCAGACTCGCAAGGCAAGTTCAGAAAGAAGTGCAGTCGTCAAACTCGCATGATTTCACAGAGGAACAGAAGGTAAGTATGTTGATGATGACTGACAGCTGTCAATCACTTTTTGACGCTTAATCACATGACAGGAAATGCAATTCCAAATTTGGAACTGATCAGATATTTAAAATTATATTTATTAAGATATTTGTTCGTTTTGCTGTGGTCTACTGCTGTCCGGTTCTGCTATCTCGCACAAAATAAATTTTGTTTTATTAATTTATTTTCCAGAAAACCCTGGGAAAGTTTGCGACATGCCTTGAAATGCGAAGTGCAGCCTTACAGGTTAGTGCTGTTATGATCATCAGACAAGATGAGAGTTCATTATTACTGACAGTTTCTTCAGAAAGTGTAAAAAATCCAGTTAAAGATATCGCTGAAACTGTCCCTCCAGCAATGTATTTATCGTCTCACATTGTCAATGTAACGATTGGGAATAATACACAGATTATCCGTGCTTAAGTTTAAACTGTGATTCTGGTGTCTCTCCTTGTCAGTGCACACAATCTCAAGAGGAGTTCAAGTTAGAAGACCTGAAAAAACTGGAGCCCAGTATGTACATTAATATGTGGATATGAATTATTTTAACCCTATTTGATAGATGAATTTAAATGTATCCTCTAAATTATCTACTCCATGCATTCTGTCGTCTTGATTTTTTTTTAGTAAAAGTAAAATGTCTTTTAGTCTAATTGTAATTGTCTTCTTGTGGTCACATCTTTACCTACTTTTCAACATAAGAATAACTTTTATATTTCAAGACGAACACTTACTGGACTGAGTTTATATATCACTGCTATTCTTCTGTTTCTCCACAGTTATTAAGAGCATTCTGACTTACAACAAAGATTTCCCTTTTGATGTCCAACCAGTGCCTTTGAGGTAGTTCTTTAATGTTTATTTATAGAACGGATAGTTCCGGTCCTGGATGCTGATTGGTCAATCCAGCGTTCCAATTATAACACTGCTATAAAGAGTGTTGTTAGGCATGATTATATGCACAATATTCCATCTCATGTTTTTGACGATACTTACTATACTAATAATATAGCATAGTAGAATCCGATTTGACTATAAAGAGTGTTGTTAGGCATGATTATATGCACAATATTCCATCTCATGTTTTTGAAGATACTTACTATACTAATAATATAGCATAGTAGAATCCGATTTGAGCAAATGTCTTGTTTTTCTGCTGCAGTGACTGATCATTGATTCTGGGTGTTTTTAGGAAGATTCTTGCACCAGGTGAGGAGGAGAACCTCGAGGAGGAGCTGGACGCTGGGACTGGAGCAGGTTCAACACCATCCTTCCCTTCAAGGGTTCCAGGTGATTCCCTTCATAGTGCATGACGTTCAGTGTTTACGCACTTCTTTATGCTCATGCCTTAAATTTGATTTTTCAACCTTAAAAAAAAAAATCAGGCAGATATAACACACACATTTTCTTCAGAAATTGGTCTAGCTTTGTTCTGTGTCATTGATATAATGTTTTTGTTAATATTTTGAATTAGATTTTCTCTTTTCATTTTAATTTTATTTATGCTTTACATTTTGTATTCGGGTTCCAGGTGATTCCCTTCATAGTGCATGACGTTCAGTATTTACGCACTTCTTTATGCTCATGCCTTAAATTTGATTTTTCAACCTTAAAAAAAAAAAATCAGGCAGATATAACACTCACATTTTCTTCAGAAATTGGTCTAGCTTTGTTCTGTGTCATTGATATAATGTTTTTGTTAATATTTTGAATTAGATTTTCTCTTTTCATTTTAATTTTAGTTATGATTTAAATTTTGTATTCTTCTTAAATATGTCCATGTAGTTTTATGTTTTAGGTAATTTCATTACTTCAACTTCAAACGAAATAAAAATGGGAAATATTGCCTTGGCTGCATAGCTGCATTGAAATGTTATTTCTTTTAAAATATTTATTTGACAATTTTATTTCAGTTAGTATTTAAGTAATGCACTGCAAAAATTATTTTCTTACTCTTGTTTTCATTACAAATACCTACACATTCTTAAATCAACAAACATTTATATGAGAAGCAAAATGAATCATTAAGATATTAAGTTTTGGTTTCTGAAAATTGTATCAAAACAGTTTTTTTTTTTAATGGGAATATTTTTTTGTGATTAAAATATCTGCCAATGTGGCAAGAAAAATTGTCGTTTTCCCTTTAAATTAGATGGTGTTTCTTACCTCATTGGCAGATCTTTTTCTTGTTTAATCAAAAACTAAGGTGACCATACGTGCCATTTTCCCCGGACGCGTCCTGACCAGGATTTCTATATTGCTTTGATTCAAAGTACCTCGACAGCGTTTCGAAAACACAAGGAACCGATGTCATACACCGATCGGTCTGCACACGCAAACAAAGCCAAACCCTAGATATTTTAGGCAATATAGAAATCCTGGCCAGGACGCGTCCTGGGAAAATGGCACGTATGGTCACCCTACAAAAACTAACAAAATTTTGATAGATTTTTCAGAAAACAAGGTTTAATATCTTAAGTCATTTTGTTTCAAGTAAATATATCTTGACTCAAGAATGTTTAGATATTTAGACGACAAAAATACTGAGCTAGAAAATAATTTTTTGCACTGATTTTTTAATGGTTTTAGTTTAACAATAATAGCCCAAGCTCTGTAATAATATATTTAATATAAGTAAACAGTAGATGAACTTGTAAAATTTTTTTAAAAAGTGCCTGTTGTTGATCCATTTTCTCTATCAACAAGCAAACTCATTTTCATTTGTGCCAGTTTTTAGTTTGACGTCTTTTGACAGGTACGCTGTTGCCACGGTTACCCTCGGAGCCAGGATTGACTTTGCTCACGCTGACGATAGAGAAGATCGGTCTGAAAGACGCAGGACAGTGCATTGACCCATACATTACAGTCAGTGTTAAAGGTAGAGCTCAGCAGCGCTTGTTAACCACATATCAGATGTCTTAACATTTTTCTTATATATTTATCTTTCCTTTTCACTATCCAGATCTGAATGGTATAGACTTGAACCCGGTTCAGGACACGCCAGTGGCCACGCGCAAGGAGGACACGTATATTAATTTTAGCGTGGATGTAGAAATCCAGAAACATCTAGAAAAACTACCAAAAGGTCTCACTTGGCTCTTATAGGAATAGTTCAATCAAAAATGACAATTTTCTCCATCAAAGATTAGGATGAGTTTGTTTCTTCCTCAGATTTGTAGAAATGTAGCATTGCATCAGTGTCTCAGCAATGGATGCTCTGCAGTGAATGGGTGCCGTCAGAATGAGAGTCCAAACAGCTGATAAAAACATCACAATAATCCACAAGTAATCCACACCACTCCAGTCCATCAGTTAGTGTCTTGTGAAGACAAAAGCTGAAACAAATCCTGTTTGGAGACGTTTTAACTTCAAACTGTTGCTTCCAGCTAAAATATGAGTGCTCTATTTCCAATATTTCTTCCTCCAGTGAAAAAGTCCATCTCCTGTTGTCTTCTCACATCAAAATCCAGCCACATATTTGTATAGAGCTGTTTTGGCTTGTAAATGGCGCTTGATCTGTGCAGATCTCTCTCCTGATTCAGACAAGTCAACTTTTTCACTGGACTCATATTTTGACCAAAAGCAAGAGTTTGAAATGGTTTAAAAAGTTAAAAATGTCTTGATGGATTTCTTTCAGCTTTTGTCTTCTTGAGACATTTATTGATGGACTGGAGTGCTGTGGATTATTGTGATGTTTTTATCAGCTGTTTGGACTCTCATTCTGACGGCACCCATTCACTGCAGAGCATCCATTGCTGAGACACTGATGTAATGCTACATTTCTCCAAATCTGATGAAGAAACAAACTCATCCTAATCTTGCATTAAGACTCAAGAGACGGAGTATAAAATATATCAGTATATTGTTGTGCTTGATCATTATTGCGTTTGCCTCTTTTGTAGGTGCAGCAATTTTCTTCGAATTCAAACACTACAAACCCAAGAAAAGACTCACAAGCACTAAGTGTTTTGCTTTCATGGAAATGGATGAAATCAAACCAGGTCCCATTGTTATAGAACTGTAAGTATCGGGCGAGTTTTTCAAAGTTGGTTGCATCCTACTGTTACATCATTAACTCTTTCCCCGCCAGCATTTTTGAAAAAAGTTGCCAGCCACCGCCAGCGATTTTGATGATTTTCACTAAAATTTGATGGCCTCCAGAATATTTTGCTGTATGAATATTTGAATATGCAATACACCAAAATAAAGATCAGAGCCTCTACCTTTAGCATTCTTTTTTTTTTTTTTTTATCAACACTTGAATATAGGTAGGTTTCATAAAAATGCATAATTTTGAGCAAAAAGGTGAGAAAAGCATTATTTTTCATATGCATGTGTTTACATAAGAGATTGCTCGTTTCTCCGTCCTGTACACATGTGTTTTTGTTCGGGAGGTTTTGTACTCGTTCAGAAGATGTGTAATAGTGCCCCCTAGTGTATAACAGTGAAAACAAGAATGTTTTTTAGAAGAAAAAAAAAACAAATCGCGTATAAGTTGCATTTTATTATTTCATTCAGAAATAGGCCTAATGCCAACGCGAAATATTTACAAACATTATAATAAACACTGTAAACATAGCTAGGCTATTTTAGTTCCCCTCACTCCACAAACAATTTTAATCACAGGAATTTTCCAGATAATTTTTTAAAATAAGGAAATACTAATGGAGATGCTTTTCCCATATTGGGCTGTTTAATTTAGTTATGTCAGTGTTGGAGTCTCGGAATCAACTAAATGGTTAAAAAAGTACTGCATTTCTGTGAAGACTTTATTCATCGTGTTGTTTAATGGCGTGTGTATCATTACACAGCTTTTTCGAATGTCATAATGAGAACATGCAAGCAAATCTTGGCATGATTAATCGTTAAATGCAAATTACCTGGATTTATGGAAAGTGCATCATTAGTCCAGAGTGAAATTCCATGTGGTGTAGTGATGGGAAGTTCGGTTCTTTTCCGCGAACCGGTTCTTTCGAACAGTTCGATTCAATAAACCGGTTGAAAAAACCGGTTCACCGGTTCTTTTACGCTCGACGTAATGACGTCATTGGCGATGACGTAATGGCGTCAAGTCTATCGCCGGCTTAACACATTCAAATATAAAGTCAGTAATCATAACATCAGTCAATTAAAACATCATTATAATCTGATACGTTTCTTACAATTTGGATTTTTGTATCTAAAGCGTGCAGTTTGCTATATAAAGATGTCCTAAAAGTATGGTAGCTGGTGTTTTAATGATTTTAGTGGACGTATGAAGTCAGACCTCCTCACACAGGTGTAGAGAATCAAATCAAATTAACTATCAGCATGATCCACTAACCATAAATATAAAATCACAATACTTCCCACTACTACACGTCTATTATTTTAACATTTTAAACCATGCAAACTTCATTTTAAATTGTGCATCTTTATTAAGATAGATGTTTGATAGGATCACCTATTTTGTAAACGCTAATGTTAGGAAAACTTGCTAAACTAAAATTTGCTGACTTTGCTCACAGGGCATCATAACTTACAAAAAAAAAGGCTGATTAGTTTTGTACCTTTTGTTGTATTGCTTAGAAATTGCTTTGTTATGCTATATTATTACCAAATACTGGATTTAATCTCTTTATTACCTTTTTTCTTTCAATTAGCACAAGTTTTGTGTTTTTTATGTTAAGCCTCATTGATCTGAGCTTATGCACCTCATTTTTTTGTGTAAACACTGCCAAAATTATACACAAATGCTTTTTCACTCAAAAACTGTGCATGAGCTCAGATCTGTGAGGCCTATGATCAATCAGTTCCAAAAAGCAATACAAAACCTGTGCTAATCAAAAGAAAAAAAAAAAAAGACTAATTCCAAAATTTGGTGATAATAGAGCATAATTTTTTAAAGGCCGGTCATTTTTGATGAGGAAAACCAAATTAGGAAAGGATTTTGGGCACAGCAAAGCGTTATCTAAATGCTCTTTGAGACAAATGTTGGCATGATTGATTACAATTTGGTAATAGAGGATAATTTTTAAAAGGTCATTTTTGATGAGGAAAACCAAATTAGGAAAGGATTTTGGGCACAGCAAAGCGTTATCTAAATGCTCTTTGAGACAAATGTTGGCATGATTGATTACTTAATGAAATATGTCCTGGATTAATTAGTCCAAAGCAAAATCGTTGACTCCTCAGAGAGTTCTTGTTGAAAGATGTTTAGTCGCACGACGCTGGATTCGCCGGTAGACACATTCATCAAAACTACAGGAAAAAAGCAGCTTTATTCAACTCATTCATTCCTGTGAAATCAATGTCACATTTTTTAAAATGGTTTCTTTTCCAGGATTAACACATGATGCAAACACTCTTACTGCGCACAAGATACATCCGCTCAACACACTTGCTAAAATAATTTACTCTAATATCAAACAAAACAATATATGCCAAAAAAAAAAGGTCGATGGATTGAGTATTTTTCCATTTTGATTCCAAAAGCATTGCATCAGAAACCCAGAGAACATCATTCATGGGCCTCGTTCATGAAACACAAGCAGATTTTCTGTGAGTAAAACCATTCTGGGAAGGAATAGTTTTTTTAATATATATAAATTATTGCAATTCAATGAATCATTTGCGATGAATGTGCGACACTTGCTCGTGAATCGAATGAGACTATTTCGTTTTCATGAATGTTTTTACGTAACGGTCACAATCAAGTCACAGAGTTTGTCAAAAATTCATTCTGCTCGTGTTTCATCATCATGCAACATCCAATAATACATTTAAATCACCTGTTGACTAGGAAAGCTCAGATGCGCAAACACACAACGTTCATCTGTTTCTATTGTGTCTGATTTGTGAGAATATTTTATTGTATACGCAGCTGAATGAAATGTACAAATACTTTGTCAATATGACATCATATGTGCCTTTTTCCGCTAGGAAAATAAATCATAAGAGCAGACGCACGACGAATCAAACGTTAAAACTAACACAGGCGAGCTGGCAAATAATCAAGTGGGCTGGCGAATCATCAGACTAAAAGTGGTAATATGGGCGTTCAAAAATGGTGAAAAGGCATAAAAATATGTAAAGTCTCTTCAGAGTCCTCTCACATTAAAGGCATGAGGAAATAACTTCACGACGTGCCTAAATATCAGTTTGACATCCCAGAATGCATCAGCACTGGGTCGAGTGGTAGAGATCTTAATTTAACCACATGACAACCACCGGGAAAAACAATTGTAATGCATATTAAATCAAACTATTTCCATAGGAAAGGTTTGCTAAGGTATAAAATCAAAATCCCTCATTATTTCGGTCACAAATGTGTTATTCAAACAAAATAACGTGTTTTCTTCCACCCAAACCAGATTTTGATGGTTAAATATTGAGAAGAATCGGCACGTTCTCATGTCAAGGCTCGCTGTGCTGATGGGATGCATTCGTTGGCGGGTCGTTGGCTGGTGTGGCGCTCCCCTCGCCGTCTCTGGAGCGCTGAGGGATTAGCGGAGGGGGTCCTGGGAAACCGCGC